AGCGACTCTTACGCTTCTTTCGTGCTTAGCAAACCTCCCAAGTGCATCCATAACTCAATAGTGTACGCTGTGGTGTTTACCATTTGTTTTATAATATAATATTGATAAATTGTAGCTAAAGAGTTCCCTTTTATTTAACAAATCTTATGCGACCAGAAAAAACAAGCGCAGGCAGAAAATAGTCTTTGCATTTGCTGACGTCAGCAGCATACACCCATGGGAAAATGGGGGATGCTAAATTGACCAATCAGAGCGTGCGCTTTACTTTGGTTATGTTATAAAACATTCTCTTTTTACAATTTTCCCTACTCAGACAATTGGACTATACACATAATCAGCTGTCAACATGCCAGTTAGTTTCACATTTTGGCCAGTGAAGTGACTGCAATTTAAAGTATGTTATATTTTACTTGGCATTTTATTACAATTATCATCAAATAAAAAGAAAAAAAAAAGTTGAAACGTAATTTATTTTGCTCTATACCTCAGGTGTTGCCACATCTCTTGCAAACAGTGATCCCCTGTGCCACTTGACATCAAGTAACAGTGGAGCAGAATGTTCACCCAAACCATATAAAACATCTGATGGCAACAGAGAAGACATCTGAAGGAACTGGTCCTCATATGTCATTCCTCCAACTGAGCTGTTGAAACTTATAATTAAGATAGAGGGTTTTTTAAGAAATGTATTATTCCTCTGAAAGAAAAAATACCTCAGGGCTATAAAAGATTTGTTCACATAATTCAATTTCTGCATCTATAGTTGCTTCAGCTAGAACATTTACTGATCTCTGATACCTAACTGACACTTTTTAAATAATTTCAAGATTTAAATATGGCATGTATATATTATAAAGAACATAATTCGTCAGCTGTCTTTGATTCTTCATTCCATTACCGGGGTAGCAAAAACTGAGTAAGGAAAAGAGCACAAGTCATGCAATTTACAGAGCAAACTTACACAACAGTTCCTGAAGATTTTCTAGTAACAGCAATCCCAAATGGAAAGTTAGTGACAGTAACAGAATAGTCCAGTGAGGTTGCCTCTGTTTCAACTTTTGGTGTTGTAATAGGAACCTCATATCTTTTGTTATTTGGGTCATAAACCTGGAAAAACATACCAGTAGGAAAAATATAACAATTACTAATTTGTATGAATGTACATCATGTAAATTATTGCACAGACATTACTGTCATAATGTACATATTTTGTTCTTGTCATTAAAGGTTCCTTACATCGACAAGTTCAAGTATACATGTAGTTAGAAAAGACTTCTTTTGCATTTAAAGATTCTCATCATACATCCATGGGGGTTGTAAGAATTCAAGACTGTTATGGATACTTGAAACACAGTGATCAGGTTTTCTCACTTTTTGAACAAGGTGAATTTAGGATAATTTATTGTTTTACTTTTCAAGACGATGGAAGATTTTCTTGGATATATATTACTTTTGACCTATGAACCTATATAAAGGAAAACATCATGTTTAATCATAAGTGCAAAAAATGTTTGATCAATAATTTACTGTACTACTAACTGTTCAGTGGTTGAATGAGGTGCTTAAAATTGAAAAACCCTCCTGGCTTTAGAGGGTTAACTCTATACTCTTAATTTATAATGCTCTGTGTGTGGTAGAAAATGGTCACAAAGTACTTTGAGTATTTTGTTATGTCAAACAATTAAATTTGGCTTCTTGGTTACATCAACAACAAAAAAAGACCATTGTTAAAATATAAAAAAAAAAAAACAAGGCAACCTGTCTCAAGTCCTCCTTTTGTTTTAAACACCAAGGCGCGCTATAAAAGGAGCCTTAGGTCCCACTGGACATTTGTCAATCAACCGTCGTGTGATGTAGAACTCTCAGAGTCAAGTCAGCTTGAGCTACAGCTACTCCAAAGTAGTCAACAGTGGGCGCATTCCTCAAAATTATTTTGTCTTCATCACAGTATAAGAATTTTTGAGATTGTAATTCCTTTCTCCATTGGAAACTGTCTTTATTTGGGGCGGTAAATTTGAGATCGAAGTAGGTGGTTCACACGTTACCTCATGCCACCATGCTGGTGGAAGTAAACAATAGATATCTCATTAGCTCCTTTTGTTCGTCTACCAGCATTTAAATTTGACCCGCACACGTCAACGGTGAGTGACAAATGAGCCTAGGTCTTCCCAGGGAAGACTTCCTTATATAGCGCACCATCCTGTTTAAAAGGCACAAAACAATAAAATGGAGCTAAAAGCACAAACACTGAAGGAGCTTTTAGTGGCAAAATTTTATACGGTGAGTTCTGGGTGAAGAAAATAAAAAATAAAATCCATGTCTTCATGAGAATTGCAAAGAGCAGAGGTCTAAATGCTTAAAAATTAAAAAAAATATATTGAAAAATACTTTTCATGATTCAGTCTTGGGGCAACCTTTGCCTAAAAGTTAAATGTAACTAACGTGGAAGGAATTCATCGAACTGAAAAGAAAAAACTTTACAGCATATCTTCAAGTAAACATGACGTTTGACCCTTCGGTGGTCACAAGACGATCATGAGATGTTAACTCTTATAATTGGAAAGTTTATCGATAGCTAATGCAATACTGAGCTTGTTCAATTTGCTTGGTTTGCCATTTTATTCAATTCTGTTTTTAAGTTTGCTCTGTATGCAAACTCAAGCTTACGCGTACACTCAGTAAAGTTTAAATGTAAAGTTCATGACAAACATCTGGGATTAATCGTTCAAGCTCAGGTCACGCAACATATTAATTACAGGTCAGTGGTTCGAATCCCGTACAGGCCTGATTTTTTTCAGGTCTGATTTTCGCTATTGCATAAATAGCGCTCTCTACTGCGAGGATCGTGCATCATACGTATATTAATTACAGGAACGAAATTAAACCACATGTGCAATAAAATCAAGGCAACAACGTCACCTCAGGGAGTTGGAAAATTGAAGTTTCAAACCTTGAAATGAAGTCGATCTTTAGTCTCGAAGCGAACATCCACCGCCAAATTTTCGATTTCTCTTCCATACGGTCCCGGATGTCCTCTCTTCGTGAGACTTAGCAGATATCCAGTTGGAGTCGTCTGCTTGTTCACAACCTGATAACCATAGTCGTTTGGATAAAAGCAATATGGTATATCGAGGGGTACATGTACGTTTTCCTCCTCAATGACTGGTTTGGCCCAGCAACATCCACGGTTCACACAAGATTGTTCGTTTGCTTCACCTTCCGGGTAGCAGTCGAAGCGAAGACTGTTAGGAATGTTAGAGCATCCTTGCTGAGCTCGTCCAAAATCAGGCGGGAATACCGAGGCCAAAACTAGTAAAGTCAACTTCCAGTACATGGCTTACCCCTGCAGGTAGGACGGCACGACTCGCAATGAAAGATTTTACATGGATGCAACTCTTTAAGTACCTTTCAAGTGAGAGGCGAATGGAAGATGTCACGTGGTATTTTGGCAGCGTGAGCAGTGCATGCTTATCGCAGTTATTTATATTTTTTAATCATTGCACAATTTTTTTCTAATTTTTCCTCTGCTTCTTCGTTGACCATCATGGCTGGAAATTTGGTGGAAAAGCCTGACACACAGGCTCGATTATTGATAAAAGGTAAAAAGAAAATTGCGATAATCTAACTATAATTATAGATATCCGGAGTCATTTCCTGGGTCGAGTTAATCTCGGTGGGGAGACAAATGACAGAATTCTATTAAAGGAATGGGTGATCTTTCTGATTTTTTTCAGATATTAAAAAAAAAAATGCAAGATCAGAGTTCGTACGTGTGGTTTATGTAACAAATTAATTAATCTAATTCAATGGAAGTTACGTGTAATTCATGAAAATAACTTGAGACCCCTCCACGAGGAAAATGTCATTCAGAGGACATAAAAATCTTGAGAATAACCTTATTTTATGTCCCTCTTTGTACAGAACAATTCTTCTGCTCTCCGTAGGGTGTTCCAGTTTCAAAAGTACAAAAGTATCACAGACGGGAGGAAATTTGTGACTTTAAAATTATTACATCATCCTCCAAAAAAAGTATGGCAGGGCACGGATCAATTCACCCCCCCCCCCGGCCAGCTCCGTTTCCAAGCCCATTGCGTTCGTCATCTTGTGCTTGCTTTCCTTTGCCCAAAATAGATAATAGATAATCAAATTTATAAATTCTGATCCGCCAACTGAACACTCCTTCAGCGGATATTAAGGGCAAAAAGTTAATTTTCATGTAGCGAAACATTGCTGCTGACGAGTAAAAGGTTGGGCGAAAAGATTTTCACAAAGAGTCGAAGTCGTTCATTTCTTGTCGAAAGATGCTGAAGAGCATTAAAAGATCATTCCATTTCGAAAAGTTAGAAGAGGAGATGATGGAAGGTGATGGCAACACAAATGTATTGACCCCATGATTTTCTCTTGACAATGGGTATCATTAACGCTCTGTCGAGCATATATTGTGGTGTATTTTGCGGGGTAAAATGGGTAACTTAGCGAGTTGAAGCTTAGCCCCATGAAATAAAAACCGTTCAAACTGCTAACCCTCACATTGATTCTGTTTTGCCTTCAATTTTTTTCAGGGTTTGTATTCTCAATCCTCTGAACTTATAATTATGATAATGCAATTTATATTCTTGGGCTTAGAAAGTTTTGGCCCTTCTCTGAGTCGGGCCCAAAAATGTCTAGTACCGCAAACATAAACTCTATTGCTTTTTTTTATTATCATATTGCTTTTTTTTATCATAGCCCAGTAAGGGCTAATATTGGTTTTACAACAGAAGCATTAGACTTTATCCGAATTGTGTTAGAATTTCACTACCGAACTAATAATAACCATTGCGTAGGGATCTGCTAGCTCTTAAGCCCTCAGAGGGCATGGGACTGCAACAGAACGCAAGCTCAGGATTTGTCAGGTGGTTTGTGGCTCAAAGGGTGAGGAAAAACCTCTCCAGGCCTCTCCTCGCCGCAGCAGTTATCTTTTGCAAGGTTCAGTCAAACTGAAAACAGTTGAAATAAAATAATAAAGGATAGGAATATTTCCCACACGTCCCAGAAATCATTAACCTCTTTCTGTCTGTCATTTACAATTACAATTAAAAAAATTAAATTTCGCCAAGTTAAAATGTTAGTCGCTGTTAGAGTTTTCTCTTCGCAGTTAGCACGGTTATCATGGAGTTGTATTCAACCATAAATATCACACAGAAAAACCTCATTATGTGAAGTGCTCTCGCTTGCAAAATTAAAGTTCTTCACTAACTCCATGCAAATCATCTTGAACACAGTTTTCAATTAGACTCTCTTTTAATTTGCTCTCGAAATTTTGTTTATAGTTTTGGCTCCCTTGTCCAAACAGTATGAATAAGTTTTCATAACCAGCTTGTCAATTTTCAAAGTCATCAAAGTTAATGCAGATACTGTCTTATCACAATAACAGCAGGTTATGACTATCCTTTGGGAAAACGCAAAATTTGTTATGACAGCTCTGACAACTTTAAAATAAAAGTGACTCGCACTTTATTCTGGTTCGTATTAGGTAATTTAATTTGGAAGCTAAAAATACTTTCAGTTACCTTTCTCATGAAGATAAATTAAGTTTGAACTGATACTAACGTGCAAGCGTAGTTAAAATTTTATATTTTAGCGCGGAGTCTAATCGCGGAAAATTTTTCATCATCATTTGAACGTTTGAATTGAAACCATCGATCTACTCGTTTAAAAAAAAATACTGTTCCACTAAGTCAGTGCAAAGCTGTACACCCACCTAGTCGGTGGGCCGGTACCGAATTCTGTTCTATCTAGCCTTCGTGTCTTGCCCGTAATTTTAGCAGGCAAACTTTGGTGGGTTGGGAAAGCAAAGAAATTAGCTGAACTGACATCGACTGTTCTTCTCTATGTCATTTCGGTGTACGCAAGAAGGCCACCTGATCAAACAGAATAGGAACCCAATAAGTGTCCAATATGCCTTAAGACATTATGTAAGGAGTATTGAAACTCTTACATCCAATGAAAAAAATGACATTTCTTCAAATCTGTTAGAATCACAGTAATACAGCGAGTTCGTAATTACTAAGTTCCATTTTAGGTAAACTAAGTCAGAATGATCGCCATAAAACTTATTGTCACGGGCCTGGGGCAGAAATTGATGGGATTGTTTGAACGATTTTGTCAGTAATTATTCGTAGGTGTTCGTTCATGATGATAGATTCATTGAAATTGTTGACTTGTGCCAGGAAGGCTTGTCAGTTGTCGTTCCGAACGTGATCGACTCAGTATAAATTTCCAACCTGTTCCTGTTAACTTAATAGTTTACTATTCCTTGACAAAGCTTCAGTTAAAGACTGCGAGAGCATACACGTCCACGAAAACAAATGAGTCAGCATGGTTGATGTCTTTTTCTGGTTCAGCTTATTTCAATTCGTGACATTTCAAATTGGAAAGACCCGGGTAGAAGCGTTTTCGTTTACTGCACGGGACAGTTACTTAGCTACATCTGTATTGAAGACAATTTGGGTCGAGGACTGGTTGGGTTGTACACTAGCTTGCCACGATAACGCAGTATGCATCTCTTATAATTACAACATGTTCCTCAAGTCTTGTGATTTGAACGAGCATGGAATACAGCTTCCACATACCGAGTCGGACAAACTGGTGAAAATGCAAGGAATGATATTTCACCAAATAAGGGTAAGTGACGTGCGTGTAAAATTTTCTAGTGTTCTGTTTCGCCCATTTCTTAAAAGGTCTCCAAAATTTGATCACAGAGTTGGCTATGGTATTTTTTTCTGGACCCCTGGACCTGACATTTTTTTAATTTTTTTTTCTTTACACAGAAACATGAACATTAGAAATGTATCTATAAAACACCTAACTGAAAGTTCCTTGCAAGCAGAACACATATCTGACGTTTTATAATTTTTATTTTAATTATATCTTTCCATTCATCAGCTTTTATCACGATATAAGGTAATTTACACCATTGACACAATATTTCATTACCGATTGGCATGATCTTTTATAGCTGAGCTCAGAAAACCAAAATAAGAGCGCCATTGCATGCATCTATTATTATTATTTTTAATTGCTTAGATGAATATGTCGGGACGTTGAATTGCCACAGTTTAATTAAAGACGGCTTTTCAGCGCCTGTTATTAGTTTGGAGCTGTCATAAGTGGCAGATCACTTCAGCGGAATGATGGGTAATTTCAGTTCGAAGTTTGGAAAATTCAACCGAAGTCTTAATCGTTAAAATTGTAACATAAACAGTATTTTGTTATGTCGAGCTTGGCAAACGGTTTTTTAAATTGCCCTTCCTCTACCGACATTCAGAGTAGTAACAGCAACTTACCAAGTAGTTTCCAAACCGTCAAACCGCAGTAATAACATCGACTCCATTGATGTAGCAGTTTCTCGTCTAAGAATCACTATCAAAATGGAAGCACATTGCCTGCGTCGCTGACAAATAAGGTTCGAAAGAATAATTTTGCTTGGTTTGGTTTCACTTTTACTTATGATAAATCGATCAAGTGGTCTTAAGTTCTATGATTACCAAGCATTAAACATGTAGAATTAAACATTGTTCTGCCTTACCTTGATATTTATCAATGATTGACACGCTGACAAAAGAAAAAGACATTACGAAAATTTTCTCCTCCCCGAGAGATTCATTAGGTTAGAGAATTGATCTGCGATGGTTCGTAGCTAAGGAAGATGCCCAGAATATCCGTTGCTGTTTACTAAAAAACTAAACTGAGGAAGTGACTGTGTAGAAATGATGAATTATACAACTATTACTGATATTCCAAGGCGGAGTCAATATTCTAACTCTTTAATCTATATAGCATTAAGAAACTATTTAAGAAGTAGTAATATTCAGGAGCAGTATTCTAATTGTACCTCACATTTTGGTGGGGGGGGGGGATGACGAATTATTAAATGGACAAGTCATTAGTTATCGCCTAGCGAGGAGCAGGGAGCGCGGAGGATTTTGGGGATCACATTATTTTCAGGAGGAAAGGAAGGGGTATCAGTCGTCGCAAACAATGTATAACGGAGGGGGGGAGGTGAGCTACAAAAAATTGACCATCAATTAACTGCCCATGTGGGGAATCGACGTAAGAATATTACCGAGCCTTATGGGGAGATCAGGTAAATTTTGTCATGACACAGCCAAAATCCAGCGACTCCCCCTCATTCCCCCCATTCCTCCCCAGGCAATTACAGTGAAAGGTCCCCAAGCTGTAGCTACTTAACTCAGCCTTTGGCTTTCTCGTCGAATAGAATACAAATCCTTTTTTTAAAGTTTTGGGGAATTTAAGATGTTTTCTGTTCTAATAATTCGATTCGTCTAAACATTTTCAAATGTCAGTGCGTCGCAATCATAGGGTATTTTTCTGCAGAAGCACTTTCAAACTGAGAAATGAATCTAGCAAACTGAGCTTTCAATTTTAGCCAGAACAGTTCTGCGCAACTTAAGATTTTTTCAATAAACGGTTTAAGTCGCACAACAATCGTTGAACCTTACACAGTTCTTAATCAGTATAGAGGCGAAGAAAGGAAAGCCATACAATGAAAAACTCGTTTTGCTGAGGTTGTGCAACTTTATGACATAATACATGTACGTGAAAATAACTTGACAACTTTACCGCCAGGATGGAAATAAAACTGGTATCTCGGGAATCATCTTAAAATCTACGGAACAAGTTGTGCGTTAGGGAATTTAATTTTAAATTATACCAATTCGATGTTCATAATTACGTCGAAAGTTAGAAGTGTAACTAAAACTGTAAAACTGTAAAACTGTAAAACTGTAAAACTGTAAAACTGTAAAACTGTGAAACTGTAAAACTATACTCCTGTAGTCCGGACTACGGAGGTCTTGTTATTTGATATATTTCCTGTTTTTTTTTTAAAGCAATTAATCGATATGTTGCTTTACTAATAAAGGGAATCAATTCCTTTTTTGTTTTTCCCGAATAATCTCGATGCCACTGCTGTGTTATTCATTTCCAGGAAGTAAAAATGCAGCCTCTCCCGCGCGAAGTTCAGTCTTTGAATCAGTGTGACTGCAGTTGTACCTCAGAGAGTGCTTGTAGGCCCGGCGAAGGTAAAATGTTTTGGTAAATAAACCCCTTCAGGCGGCTAATGTGTAGATTGATAATGTCTGCGCCCAAGAAATTGTCCGAAAAATTAATATTTGGCTGACAAACGATCGAAGCTTCGAAGGAAAATGTGAAGCTATTTCTAAGGACAATCTCTCAGCTAAGGTCAATATTAACCGACATACCTATGCCAGCAAGCCAAAAGGGCTTTTATTTATTTCATAACCCTCCCACTGAATTTGACGTTTTTGCACAATCCGTGGCAGCATTTGAGACCAGTTTTTTTTAATGTGACTGGAGTCTACAAAACGAGTACGTGTTTCTTCCGTGCAAAGCAGGAAAGATGAAAAAGTGAAACTCGCTGACTTTGTTTTTTTTTCCTACGGAGATTATCGGAGGACAGATATCTGCTTATTTAAACGGAGGTTTTTGCGTGATAACTGTCCAGTGATTTTGCACCACGTAACGTTACAATAATCAATAGAGTTGTGCAAAAATCAATGAGTGGGTTTATAATGCACCTTGGGTGCTCAGTCAGAGCATGCGCAGAATCACAAGGGAGTAGTTGCAAATGAGAAATGTTTATGTGTCAGGCCCATTAAACGTTAATAGGCCTGTGTGAAGCTTCTTAAGTATATAGGGGGACTCTAGAAAATGAAGTGCCAACGAGAAGGATCATCAGAATACTACAGAGCCTTAT